AATAAAAGCTTCCTAGGAAAATACTTGAACCTAGTTAGCAGCACTAATGAGATACGTCTGTAAAATTCTCTGTGCCATTAGCAAGGCACTAGGAATATTAACAGCAACAGTCAGATGTCACAAAGGAGACAGAGTGTTTCCTCCCATTCACAGACCATTCTACCTCTTTCCACAGTAGTGTGTTGCAAAGCCTGTAAAATGCAAAGCCTGCTTTTTATTGTGCCTAATGGAATGCCCCCAGTCTCTGGTAAAACCAGTAAAACTATAATTTCATAAACAGGAAACCATAGTTAATCCCTAGAGCTTCTGAAATAATAATGATTTTCAAAAGTGTGGAATTATTTATAATTTGTATCACAATAGCAAGTAGAGAAGCCAAACAAATTAGGAGTTGCTTAATACTGGGCAGTGTGCAAACACAGCACAAACATCAGAGAAGTATGTAACTTAAACAGACCAGATAGCCAGAGGGTGAGCAAGGAAACAAAGGTGCATGTTAAATAATTACAAATTTCCAAAGGCAGAATAAAAACCAAAGGAAGTTACAGAAAATATCTTAGAAACCTAATTTTCATCAGGGTTCTTGCAACTGTAAAAAATGCTATTGTTTGTGGAGTTTCATTTCTGTCAGGAAAAAAGGACAGTGAATGAAGGTATGTAGATATTTCATTGCAGGCTCACAATGAAGCCACTATATCACTGCAAATACTTAGTAAAGTTCCTTTCTTTTAGAAACAGTACTATCATTTGAGAAAATCTCATTGGATTTTCACTTGGTGAGTTTCTTTTGTTTAAGGATCTTTGTTTTATTATGCAGAAAAGCTCTGAGCCACTTTGCCAAGTTCAGGTCTTTACATGTTGAGTGAGAAGTTACTGAGTCAAGAGGATACATATTTTTTCCATTCTCCCCACAATTTTTTGTTGACTGGTAAATCAGCCTGACACTACTTAGTGAAAGAGCACCTCAGCTTGTGTTTCAGATCTCTGTATCTGTTTCAGAAAAAGACATATACTTAAAATCTTAAGGGAACAGGCATGGTGCATCAACTTCCACATGAGCAGTTATTGAGACACATACAGGGACCTGTACCCAAAACACAAACAGATTCAGAGTTTGTTGGGACTTCCAGGTGAAACTTCTGCCTCTTCTGGAAAAAAAAAACCAAAAGTTTTTTTCCTTATCCGGGCTTGTTCACAAAGAAGAACCAATTAGAGGAAACAGTGGAAGGTAAATATCCCCAGCAGCTTCCTCTTTCAGCCTAGAGAAGACAAGCAAGAAGTTAGCCTTTCTTCTCCACCCCCACCAGCCCCATTCATTGGGCAGAGCTCCCCTTAAAACAAGCTATAATTGGACTCTCCTTCTGCACTGGCCACAAACAGACCCTTGCAACTGTCCCAGTAATCAGAGCATAAGACACTGCCTCTTGTTAGCTGAGCCACATTAACTGACCGTATTCCTGGTTCCTCGCTTTTGGAAACTGCAAAACAACAYGATTGCCCAGCTGCCACCATGAACCACAGAATCACCAATCATTTAGTGATTATGAAGCCTAATCTTTGAAGATTATGGAGCCTAATCTTTGATTTTTCACCACCTTGTCAATTAAACTACGGCACTGAGTGCGACACCCAGTTGTCTTCTGAACACCTCCAGGGATGGTGACTCTATTCAAAGAGCAGTACATTCCAATGTTTAAYAACTCTTTCCATGAAAACATTCCTTATGAAGATATGAAGGCAGAGTGCTGCCACAGGTAATGAATGCAGGTACAGTCAGCTAAAGCAACTCAGTGAGTAGCTGTCTTAAACACTTTTCATTGCTGGGGCACACCTTCACTGACTTGTACATGGCTACCCTAGAAACAAAGGAATCCAGTGGTATTCATGAGTGTTATACCCACACATTATTATTTAGTCACAGATTGCATGTGCATTTTATTGCTCTTTCAAAAAAACCAGAACACATTGTTAAATTTGGAATTATAAGCTAATTTTTCCCTTTTAAAATCAGTCTTTCATTTTTTCAGATACCATCAATCCCAGTAATGATATATTTTTCTATCTGCTGTGTTTGCTATGTAAGCTAGCAAACATTCTGGACTACAGAGTGAGAAAAATGTCATTTACTATGAAAGGTTCGCATAAGTATTGAGTTATTTCTGCCTGACCATTTTTTCATGTTTTGGCATGAGGCCCAGAGGACAGCAGGAGAGGAAGAGGTTTTGAAAGATTAAATTCTTGCCTACCTTTGGATGTGGTAGAAGTAATTTGTAAAAGTAGTCAGTAATACAGACAAGAGTGTCACTGAAGAAAGAAACCAGGACAATTCTCAGTATTTAGCCAGAAGGACACAAGAGAGATACTTGGAAAATGGTAAAGGCACCATGACTGCACTTTTGAGAAACTAACCATAATAAAGYAGGATAAAAACTGTTGGTCAGAGCACATTTGTCCAACACAGTCCAATCTATTGAAGGCTTAATTGAGTTCATTGGCAAGCATGGCTGGCTCTATACACAACATGATTAGTACTTTGTTAGTAAGGATGGCAGCTGAATACGTACCATTGCTGCCAGAAGAAACCTGGCACATGACTGTCCTCTCACAAGTATTTGGCACATGCTTTCATGATGCAGATGAATCTTCTGGCTCTGCTGCTAGACCAGGTTTGAAGAGGTTGGGCTCTTCCAGGGTTATGCTACTGGCTACACAATGTCACCGTGAACACTCTAGAGACACATGACAGTGGAGARGCCTCAGATTCTGAGATTGTACCAGAAGCATCTAACACAGATGGCTGTGGGTGCACKTGACACATATTTGTTCCTTGAGAAGAACTGCTGTGGGGTGGAGTTGAAACTGTGTGTTACCTCAGTGCTTGGTGAAAAAGCCACAGCTCTTTAGAACATAATGGTACTGCTAATATGGACAGCCCTTCAGGATATCATTACGGTATTAGCAGCTTTGGCCAAAGATTTTTATAATCTTTATTTCTGCAATTCACCTGCTCCTGCATGAAATTTAACCAATAAAAACTGGAAGTCATCACATCACATCGCTTAAATGTAAAATATAGAAACAACATGTTACATGGTGTTCCTCTTATTGCTTCATRTGCTTAAGAAACCAGGATGATATTTCTGCTGATGTTTTATGTGTAAATACGCTTACTCACAACATTTCCATATAAGTACACATTATTTTCTGCACAAGTTCAACAAAACTTCTTTTAGCATGTCTTTCTCAATATTGTTTTGCTCCTTCTCAGAACAGTTTTTTTTCAGGAGTGGAGTCCTGAGAAACAGAGCTTGAAAATAAAAGAAGGAACTTGTGGTTTTAGACTAACTGGATCTGCACCCAAACTTTGGATTAAGTTTCTGGTTTTACMACATACTACATATATATTACCTGAGGCAAGGTTTACTGCCTCTTTATGCTTCAATTTCTCATCTTGAAAGCAGGTATAATAATAGTTTCTCTACTTCACATGATTCTTGTGAAATAGAACCCATGAACAATAATGAAAATCTTCAGTAAAATGGAAATAACAACTGCAGCTGTTTTTTGCAGGTATGAAATAAGGCAAAGTGCTGGGTCCCATACTTGGGCCTCAGCAAACCCACACAGTGCCACAGGCTGGGTGAGAGAGATGCAAAAAGGGACCTGGGGTGCTTGTTGAGAGCTGGCTCAATGTGAGCTTTGTGTGTCCCCATATCCAAGGAGAACTCTGTTCTGGCCTGAACCCAGAACAGTGTGGCCAGCAGGACCAGGGAAGTGATCAGCCTCCTGTAGTTGCAGTGCTGAGGCTGCACCTCGAGTCTGATTCTGGGCCCTTCACTTAGAAAAGGACATTGATGTGCTGAAGCAAAGGGCAGACAAAGGTTTGCCTTTGAGGTGATGCAGAGAAGGGCAACAAGGCTAAAGAAGGACTAGAAAACATGAGGAGCTGTTGAGGTAGCTGGGTTTTGTATGCAGCAGAAACTCCATCAGCAGGTCACTGAGCTGACACTGGTTTTCAGCGACTGGCTCTTCAAGGGAAGAAGTCGCTCTTCAGTGACACTCTTCAAGTGTCAGGGCATGTCTGATGCGCATGATTCTTACACTGTTCTTTTGAAGGCAAATAGATGTAAGTACATCAGTGGACACAAACTGACATATCCAAAACTGCAAAGACAGAGTCTGGAAAAATAACAACCCCAGATTGCTGAGAGTAAAAAACTGCATGTTGCCACATTTTTCATTTTAACTCATGCCACTGAGCCATGAATGATCTGCAGAACCAGGGCAAGTTGAGCACAGGTGAGATGGCAACCTAAGACTCTATGTGAAGAACCACAACCTCACAGCACTATGGTTCCACTGGGTATAGCTGCCAGCCATACTTGAGCACCCAACAAGGAATACCTGATTTTGCACGTTTGTGTTTCATATTTGAGTCATGCTTGACGCCTTCAGCACTTTCCCCTTATTTTCTGTTTTTAAAAGACAATGTACAATCTGGTGGAATGGAGCAAAGACAGCTCTCTTCGAGTGTCGCAGGGGCACCATTCCTATTCAGAATCAGTAAAGCTACAGGTGTAAAGCACCCATGATGAGTCATCATCTCTCAGTCAGCGATTGAAGTGACTGCCAGGGAAACGGGGCATGTAAGACGTGGAAATTTTACCGACACGCAGAATGGGCTGGCTGCTGTCAACAGCTGTGTGTCAGAAGACAAGCCCCCTACTCATTTCCTTGTCSGACCACAAGCACACCAGCTTTCGTGACCTGCTTTCCGTTACTCCTTAAGGCCGTGGCGGTGCGGGCACATTTTGGCCAGGGAACGGTCAGCGCTGGAATCCCTCGGCGGTGGGCAGCGAGCCGCGGCGGTTGCAGCGGAGCCGAGCGGGGCGGGCAGGGAGCGCTGCGGCGCYGGCGGAGCTGCGAACGCGCGGCGGAGGAGGAGCGGGCGGCACAGCGATAGCGCTGACGGGCAGCGGCAGCCGCTCTTTGTCCCCTCCCCTCCCCGGCGCGCCCAGCCCAGCCGGCAGCGCGGAGCGGAGCGGGCCGGCCTGGGGACTCCCTCCCCGCGCCGCCGAGGTCGCCATCTTCGCCCCCGAGCTCGCCTCCGACGCTGCCGGCCGGGCTCCCGGGGAGCTACCGGGAGCCTGCACCGCGCCCCCCCGCTGCATGTGACCGGCGGGCGGTAGCGGCCTCCTCCGCGGATCTCGGCTGCGTCCTCCTCCGCCCCCGGCGCGGCGGGGAGGGGGCGCGGGGCGCCCGGCAGCGGGAGACGGAGGTGCCGGGGAGCGGCGGGCACACAAAGGAGCGGGCACCGCCGTGGGCAGCGGTGAGTGCGGGGCGGGGGTGCGGGGGTCCCCGCTCTAGCAGCCCTCCTCTCTACCTGCCGGCGGGCTGGGCTGGGCTGCGCTGCGGCCGCTCCCTTTGGGGTGGGCCCGCGGGGAGCGATGGCGGGGGGCTGTGTTGCGCCGCCGCCTGGGACCGCCGGTGTTTGTCGAAGCGCCGGCTCCACGGCCGGGCAGCGGCGAGCGAGGGCCGAGCGAGGTGCCCGGGGGCGGCGGGGCCGGTGCTGGGCGGGGCGATGCGGGGGAGGCTCCGGCCGCGCCGCCTCGGCAGCGGGCAGTGTTGCGGGCGCGGCGGGTGATGCTCAGCCCTAATCCCGCTTGACGCTCGGACAAAGAGGAGCGAGCAACAAATTTTGTGGTGGGCGATTGAAAAAAAAAACCAGAAAGAAAAAAATGAAAACGGGTTAGGTTTTCGTGGGTTTTGGGGTTTTTTTGATTGTTGAGAGGCTTTGGGGGGGGGCGGTTTTTGGGCTCTTTTTTTTTTTTCTGTGGTTCCCCCGCCCCTCGGCCCGGCGTGCGGCGGGAGGGCAGGTGCCGCGGCGGGCAGGTGGGCGGGAGCGGCGGGGCAGCGGGGCCCGGGCTCGGGCACAGGGCGTGGTGCCGTGGYGGGGATGCCGCGACGCCTCCGTCCCTCCCACCGTGTCCCCAGCGCCGTGGGGAGCGCGGCGGGGCCGCGGGAGCGGGGCGAGGCCGCCCGGGAGGGGAAGGGGGGCGCTGGGCTGCCACAGCGATGACTGCCGTGCGCATCCAGGGAGGTAAATCAGCGTTTCACAGCGCTGGTTTGAAATGTGGCGCTGTTCTTCTGGGATAAGAGTGTGGTTTTCAGGTAATTGCTCCGTGTGTGTGACCCTGTGCGCTGATTGGAATTGTAACTCTTCCACAGGCCAGGAGAACGTGAGACCCTGTGACATTTAACTCTGAAGCTGGATATGCATTAAACTGTAAGTTTTCCGGTTTTGTTTCTGAACTTGATGAATGGAGTGATTATTTCATGTCTGCGAGACAAAAACTTGAGAAGTAATTTAAGTGAGAACCTAAGCAGACTTTTCTGATGCACATTGCTCACGTATATCCCCCCCTGGACTGCAATAACTGATTAAAAAAAATAGAAAAATAAAGAAAATTGGAGAGAAGGGGATGCCTTAAGCTCTTGCTTTAGATATGGGTTTGGTGCTAGGCTTTACTTAATCATCCCGGACTGATAGTCACCTTTTAGGCTTAAATCAACGTATAGGAAATACCTGTAAGTGTAATACTACTGTGTTTTCTCTATATTTGACTGAACTGTGATTAGATGCTACTTTTTCCTTACTCATAAGGCAGTTTTTTTAGTCAATTATTTTGCTTAGGTGATCTGATTTATAKTAGCTCATTGAAAGTACAGATATGTTTCTGAGAGTTGTTTTTTGCAATGTTAAAATATAGATCCAGCTTTTAAAGATGTAATTAAATATCTAATTTGTATAGTAATAATGGTTTTTTGAAGGGTGAAAGGGACTTTAGTAAATGAAATTGCGGGAAGTGATCAAGGAAATGGCTASAACCACTAATGAAATACAAAGCAGATCAAAGAAGCAGTGAGACAATTCACTGTACAAATTTGGTATATACATACACTTCATTGTATGTCAATAGTTGCATCACCGCTCTTTTAAATTTGGATTCTCTCATTAGCTTAAGTGAGAAGCCAGAACCTGGATATAGCCGTCTGGGTATCCAGAGTAGTTTTGCTAATGGGTGTCAGATATTCAATGTTTAAGACATTTCTGGTGAAGTTTCTGTATATTTAGGGCAAAATTCTATGCCTTAGAAATTACATCACACAGTCCATAAAGTATTATGTGGCATTTGTGCACCAGAGGAATGAAGAATGCAGAAACTGTTGTTATGTGTAGCTCATCCAGAAAAGTTACAGATTAATTATCTTTTATTCAAATAGATTTATAGTTCTTTCCTGTCAAAAAATAACTGTCAATTTACTTATACTGTCATAGAACCAGACAAAAGAAATTTTTTTTGAAGCCTTCTAGTAATTCTAACCTTTTGAGGGCTTTGGAAGTTCTGTGGTGGCTTGGTGTGCAGTGTCGCGGTCTGTGGGAAGTCATGAGCCCAAAAGACAAATAGAAATGTTTCAAATATCCCATCATGTAAAAAAAAAGGTATCATAGTGAGTTGATTTAAAAACAGGAAAAGGAGATGAGAAGTTGAGTGTGTGTTCCAGCTTTCTTTCTGAATATATTACTGTGCCTTTCTTTACCTCTATACCAGAGCTTTCATTGCAGTGATAAAGAATTGACCTTTAAGTGGTTTCAGAATATCAGATCATGTGCAATGGAGGCATTACAGTAAACAAAAAGGATTAAATGTCTCATTTCATCTCTTTTCCCAACAAGAAGTGTAATTGACACTGTCCTGCTTTTCCAGGAGTAATGGTTTGTGGYGGTGAAATAGCACTAATCAACATTTGTCACTGTAATTGATTGTCCATGTGACACCAGTTAACTTGAGCAAGCTTACAAAAACCCTTTAGATACTTGTGCCAGACCTTTTGACCCTGATGTGGGGTGTGAAGGGGCTTCTTTTTTTTTGCTGGTTGAGTTTCTCCTTATTAGAATTACGGTGCACTATTAGAAAAATCGTTTTTCCTTTACACCACTGACAAGGAAAACTTATTTCWTACTGTGATATATGATTGAACTGTCAGTTTCTTGAAGTTCAAGAGTTTTTTTTTTTTTCAAACTCTTAGAAATAGCACTGAGATATTTGCTTTGCTTAATGTGATTTATAAACCTACTTTTAGGCATGAAGCATAATGTGAAATTAAATKACTTAATAATGGAAGAAAACAATCCCAGTGTTGAAGATACCCCTGGAGATACTCCTCCTGTTGAATTTTTTTGTTGTTGGTGATGTTGTTACTTCCATTTTCAGAGAACTTAGCTTGGTGTGGAGTGATAAATTAAATGCAAACTTAGCATACCATATCGCTAGGGAAAATCTTGTGCCAATCTGTTTTGCATACACTTTTATGGTTCATGTTAGCTCTGAACAGAAACCCACTGGGTTTTGGTTCAGTGTCACTTGAGTGCTTGGATAGAATTCAAATGTGACTGATTTTCAGTTACTTTTGAGAGATTCTTTGACTATTCAAACTAGTTGCAGCAATTCAGTTGCAGCTCTTGATTGYACATGACAGCCTGAATCCAGGTGGTGAATAGGAGTTCATAATATAATTCATTGCTGCAGCACATGTTTTTACTGGATATTATTATAGCAAGTATTATAGACTGTTGCCTTACGTAAATGTATGTAAACACTTATCTTTGGTCACCGCCTTACCCCTGGGTGTGTGTTTCTCATGCTGCACCTCTGTGTGTGTAGATAGAGAAAGTGCATGAAGGGTAGTGTGGCCCTTGTTGTATCTTGTTCTATATTCATTAAATTGTGTTTTTTAGTGACTACTATATCTGTTTAATATTAGTCATCCTTTTGTCTCCTAATTTTAATATTGGCCTGTATAGAGAATAAAGAGTTTTAAGAGAACTTAGGGTGTTGTGAAAGTGTTTGTCGCTGTTTTCATACTTCAGTTGTGAGGGAATTGCTTTCTTATATATRCTGAAGGACTGTAGAGAATTGACTGCTGAAACATGAATTCCAATCTTACAATGCAATTTTATCAATGCTTAAAGTATACTTAGTAGGGTTAACATGATGGAATTATTTTAATGTTATAGCTGCTGTGATACTTCTGTGTTAAAAAATACTGAAGCAAATGTTGACTGCACAAATAAATTATTTTATGTTTTTTAATAGACTAGATGTAGATGCGCTAGAAAAGCAGGGAAGGACGTGTCATTCCATCCTGTAACCAAGCCTAGGAGGAGAATAAAGGAGAGAGGGGGAGGAGGAATGCTGCTCTGAAGGATGCTGGTCCTGAGATGGGTGGATTGGATTCCYTTTCCTTTAAAAAGCATCAGTAGATCTGAAGAGAGGCTTTTGAGTATTCACAGTCACTTAAATGTTTCATGTTATTTTGATGAAGCAAGTTCTGTCTTGCATGATGAGTGTCTCATTTTATTGTATGACTAGCAGTGATAAGAAATAATGACAAATTCAAGGAGGAAGCAACCGAAAGCAATTGAAAGTGGGTAAGAGAGCAATCAAACAGCTGCACTGAGCATGTTAAGTGGGGGCTTCAAATAAAGGGCAGATTGAAGAGGAAGTTTAGCAGTGAGAAAGCTGCCTGTTAGTAACAAAGTGAATATAAGAAAGTTCGGCTAGTGACTGCCCTGCAAACGAGTCTTTGCTCAAYGCCCATTACATGAATGGGTAACTCTGCCTGAGGACTCCTTTGGTCTCTCTCAAATCAATTTTTTGTTAGTGGTTAGAAGTGGATAGGTGAGTTGAAACTTCTAGTCTGAGGGTAGTCATAAAAGGAACAGCTCTCTTGTAGAATACATGGTTAAGAGAGTGCAGACCTATTTCAAAGCAGTCTTACATATTCTTTGYCAGCATCACATTAACAGAAGGGCTTAAAAATAAGGTGTAAGGAGATAGATGCAAGGTGTCAATACAATCTTCAGCAGGTCATGCGGGCTTCTTCCTGGAAACATAGCTGAACTGWATTAACTTCTTCTAATTTAGTTATTTTTCTGTCCAGTCATATTGGCAATATTTTTTGTGAGGCATTGGAGGGAGAACTGTTGGTGTGACTCTTGGAGATGTCTTGTGCAGGGCTAGGAGTTGGAACTGATTATCCTTGGGGTCCTTTCAACTCAGCCTGTTCTGTGATTCCATAGTACCTTCTGTCTGCTTGTGCAGTAGTTTATGAGAGAAAGCAAGCTGCTGACCATTGCTCTGCCTGAAGGGCAGGTAACTGCTTTTCAGCTTGCTTCTACATTGTGGCTAAACTGTATTCAACAAACAACTGRAATGGGTCTTAGTGCATTGTGTTCAATGGTTTACTTATTTGGCTGATGTTGAACGTAGGGGTCATATTACAGGCTGACATCTTAGTAATGTCAAAGGTTTTTTGAGTTGTAGTTAGCTAAGCCCTTGATCTGRTACCGAAGTTATTAGAAAACAGTTGCTTCAGTTCTTCACTGGATAGAGTTTGAATCCTTTGCCCACAGTGCACAAATTGTTACAGAAGTGTGCTGGTGTGTGATGAGTTTTGTTTGCACTGCATAAACCAATTCSTCTGTTTTGGGGAAGAGGTTCTGGAGGAGAAACTGCAGTTCATCTTTATAGGAAAGGAGAAACTTTGATCTAAACAAGAAGGGGTTTGTAATGCTGGGAGAGTATTACACATGGAGATCACTGCTCTGATCTAATAATTTTTCACAGATAAACASAGTGCTTAGAGTTGTACTTTAGGCAAGCAGGGATAAAATATTGTAAGTATCCCTAGCCATTTAGGCTAAAAGAGAGAGCTGTTTGTTTTGTCAATATATAAGCATGATAAGGGCAAAACTGTGTGAACCAAGTAACTGATTACTGACTGCATTACGGTTCGCTGGGTATTTTGGTATCTTGTACTTTTTACAAATTGCTGTACAACTCAACCTCTTTTTTCTGATTGTTCGTGCCTTGAATTTTATCAGTTATTACAAAGAGTTCAAAAATGTTTCCTTAGAAAAACTTCCTTTTCACAGAATAGAAAGTGTGTTGTCACCAAAGCATTCCATTTAAAATCCCAATTGTCCTCATAGAAAAAATAAGTATGTCTTTCTTTTGACTGAGGTTTGTGAATTCTGTCTTTCTTAAAATACTAGCTTATCTTTGTATGGGCTTCATATATTTTTTCTATGCTTCATTTTTGGAATGGGACCTTTAGTCATCTTTCTTGTATTCACCTACTGAATTTGGAGACCACCTGTTTAAATCTTGTGCAAAAATAGGGCTTTTCTAAATTGCAGCTGGCTTCCTTGTCAAAACAGTC